TGCCTGTTGTGCTTCTATCTAACAGTTGCCTTGATTTGGTAGGCTGACCATAGGCAAGAAGATATTTCACCAACAGAAAGGCATGGGGACACATCTTCCTGTCCTCTCTCACACCACCTAAGTGCCAGGGCCCATCTCAGTCTTTTTCTCCAATGCAGCCTATTCTGTGATTTGGTACTAGCTGTGTGTGCTCCATTTCCTTTACTGATTAGAAAGTTTTTGCAGCACTTTGCTTCCTATTGAAGATCTTTTAGCCTGAGGGTTGTCAGATTATTCCTGCACATCTAACCATCCCCTAAAGTCTATAGTCAGCCTTTAATAGTATAGTGACAAAGAACATTTCATCAAAAATCTCCCATAAGAAAATATATTAATTTAGCATATCCTGTTAACAGACTGATTCGTGGAACTGTAGAGCAGGAACTTTTATACATTGTGAATTTTTTTCCAGATGACCCCTTTTCACCAAACCCCACCAATTGTATGACTCACCCCCCCCCCCTTCTTTTTCTGTCCATGTCTCCCTGTTGACCACTTAATGTTATAAGTGTGGCATCTTCATTGAACATTCAAGGGTCATGCAGGAGGGTTTATTGAACAGGAACCTATATAAGCAGTCTAGCACCCTGTTCATTTTCCAAAACTCCGTGGGTCTTCTTAAGCTATAGGAGTGCTTTTTGCTTCATGTTAGAGTTTTCACCATAATTTTAAGTTAAATGTGACTCACAGATTGAAAATGTAACAGTTTCAGTTGTACGTTTTTCCTGACATGTCTGAGAGATTGCTTCCTAGAATGCAAGAAGAAAGCATTAGACATTTGCAGTTCATTTTGTTCTGAATCAAAATGTTGTAAAAATTTCATTATTTGGAAATTCGGATGTATCTTAATTTCTAAATTACAATAGTAACGAACTTAAATGAATCCAAAGTAACTAAACAAAAAGGTTGTCCAAAATAATTTGAATCAAAATCGAATTCGAAAACAAATTCGAACTGTAAACATATTGCTGACTAGAGCTGATTTTCTTCAAAGACTATGTGTATTAGTGTTATTTTTTTTTTTTTTTTTTTTTCTTTTAAATATAGTCCTCTGCCAAAATTCAAATTTTAAAAAGAATAGAATAAAACAGAACAGAATAGAATAGAGAATAAAGGCATAGAAAAGAATTGAATGGAATAGAATAAAAAGAATATAGCCGTCTTCCGCACCCTCCTCACTTGCTAAGATTGACGCAGTGGGAGCCAATGGCTTCCGCTGTTGTGTCTGAGCCAATGAGGAGGCAGAGACCCGGGAGAGCTGTTGCTCTCATGCACATTGCTGGATTAGGATCAGGTTCAGGTACAGTAAGTATTAGGGGGGCTGCGCACTGAAGGTTTTTTACCTTCATGCATAGAATTCATGAAGGTAAAAAAAGCCTTCAGACTTTAGAACCACTTTAACTCATCTGTTCATACCACAGTTTTTATACCATCCACAATGTTAAGCTTTTAACTCCATCATCAGTTCCTTCCCCCAGCATCTCTTAATCTTTTTCTCTATTCCCTCTTCCCCATCAGCTTCCATCTCTTCAAAGTTAACCATAAACACCCCCTCCATTATCAGTTCCTGTCCCTTACAATTCTTCATCTTTGCACCTTTTCCACGTTCCCATAAGCTTCCATTACCCCAATGCTTAGCCTCCATTGTCCCCTCCCACATCAGTTCTTGCCCACAATACCTCTTCATCTTTGTCATTTCGAGCTCCCATGCCTCACTCACTGCCATCAACTCTTGCTTTCTTCCTCTCAAAGACCTGTAAACACTATATATATTTAATATACTATTTTTGTATTGTCCGTAGCATTTTGTGGGATTTATGAGATGCTTACACTTTTTCTGTGAGTGTAACCTTCTAGCTTAAAAAAAAAAGTTTTTAAATGGTACTTCACTATTGTTAGTCTCTTTTTCCATGCATATGGGATTTCCACCTTGATGTATCCATCTGTGATCTAGATTCATACCGTATATGAGTCTGGAGTAAATTATACCAAAGCGCTTTCAGACCTTCCATTAATTTTGGAGCTGACTGTGATGGTGATATGCTCTCCTATGGGGAATAACCATTGAGTGTTTTCGATTTCCACTTGATCACCATATCAGTGGCTGGAAAATTTTAATCTGCATCTTGGGTGTTTAAAATGATACTAAAGGGGTAAAAACATGTTATACTTGCCTGCTTTGTGAAATGGTTTTGCATGGAGCAACACTAATCATCCTCTTTTTAAAAATATACATTTTTTAAATATATTCTTCAGATTTTTTTTAACATTTCAAAAAGTAATTTTAACATATATTTTTACATATATGTGTAAATGCATTTCAAAAATGTAGATTTGTATTTTTAAAGACATGCAGTATATTTGAAATGTATTTTAAAAAAATATTTTCATATATTTTGTAATAAAAACGCATTTTCAACCAGCAGTATAGATATATATATATATATATAATAAATATATTGAATATGGCCAAAATTGTTCTTATTTTTCTTCCATGTGAGAAGGAAGTATCCAAAGAACAAAAGGTATACCGCTCACGCAAACAATCCAGATCAATCCACAACAGGTGCAGGCTCTGGCTCGCCACCACATACAATGCAATAGGAAGAAGAGTCAGCCGCACACCAGTGTGCGGCTGACCCTTCTTCCTATGGGAAGGAAGTATGTTCATAGATTGCGAGCTCCATGGAGCAAGGCCCTCTTAACCCTCTTGTATTGAACTGTATCGTTGCTGTATTGTCTCCTTTCTAATGTAAAAGCGGTGAACAAAACTGCGCTATATAAATCCTGTATAATAATAATAATGGTAGGACCACCAGGCTAAAACAAAGGGAAAAAACAGCCTGAAAAAATGCAGCAATCACATCTAAGGATTTGTAAACTGCAATATATTAACCACTTGCCCACCACTCTATAACAGATGTACTGCTAAAGGGTGGCACGGCTGCGACAAAAATTACGTATATATACATGATTTGGATGTCCAGGTAGGGGGCGTGCGCATGCCACTATTGGCTGCTGGGGATGTTGGCCGGGACTGTGATCGTTAGCAAAGCTGACAGGGGAGAAACCTGTGTATAAACACAGGCCTCTTTCCTGTCGGCATAGACATGCTGCTTTGTATCTCTTTGCACAGCAGAAAGATACAAAACAGCATGTCTCCAAAGTAAAACAGCACAGTGCACACAGTTAACCCCTTGATCACCCCAGATGTTAACCCCTTCCTGCCCAATGTCATTAGTACAGTGTCAGTGCTTTTTATTAGAACTGATCACTGTAAAAAGTGTCACTGGGGATGTCAGTGACAGTGAGTTCCCACCCAATGTCAGAATGACCGCCGCAGTCCCCGCTATAGGTCGCTGATCACCGCCATTACTAGTATTAAAAAAATACAAATAAAAATTCCAGTATATATACCGCCATTTGTAAATGCTATAACTTTCACGTAAACCAATTAATATACACTTGTTGAGATTTTTTTTAGGAAAGACATATAGCAGAAATACAATTTGGTCTAAAATTTATGAAGAAATTTGATTTTTATACATTTTTTATTGGATATGTTTTATAGCAAAACGTCAAAAATATTGTTTTTTATTTCAAAGTTGTTGGGGGGGTTTTTTGTTTATAGTGCATAAAAATAAAAACACAATTGTCAGTTAAAGTAACGCAATGCCGTATCGCAAAAAATGACCTGGTCAGGGAGTGGGTAAAATCCTCTGGGGGCAAAGTGGTTAAATGTTTGTTCTTGTGTTTAGAATACAATGTAAGGCAATGATTTGTAGCTGTACATTTACTATTACAAATTTTACATAGAAACAAGGATCTATAGGAGTATATTATAATTTATTAGAGATGAGCGAATTTCTCAAAAATTCGATTCGGCTGATTCGGCGAATTCCAGTGTGAAATTCGATTCGATGCGAATTTCTTCGCTACGAAGATGACTTATAAAAAAGGGTTTCTAGCTTCAGAGAGCCTTTAAATTAGTGCCAAACACTGTACCTTTAATTTAAATGCCCTTGGAGATGAGGAGAAGAAAGAAGGAGAAGGAGAAGGAGAAGGATGAGAAGAAGGAGAAGGATGAGAAGAAGGAGAAGGAGAAGGATGAGAAGAAGGAGAAGGAGAAGGATGAGAAGAAGGAGAAGGAGAAGGATGAGGAGAAGGAGAAGGATGAGAAGAAGGAGAAGGATGAGAAGAAGGAGAAGGAGAAGGATGAGAAGAAGGAGAAGGAATGAGAAGAAGAAGGAGAAGGAGAAGGATGAGAAGATGAGGAGAAGGAGAAGGATGAGAAGAAGGAGAAGGAGAAGGATGAGAAGAAGGAGAAGGAGAAGCAGAAGGAGAAGGATGAGAAGAAGGAAAAGGAGAAGGATGAGAAGATGGAGAAGGAGAAGGATGAGAAGAAGGAGAAGGAGAAGGATGAGAAGAAGGAGAAGGAGAAGGATGAGAAGATGGAGAGGAGAGAAGGATGAGAAGAAGGAGAAGGATGAGAAGAAGGAGAAGGAGAAGGATGAGAAGAAGGAGAGAAGGAGAAGGATGAGAAGAAGGAGAAGGAGAAGGATGAGAAGAATGAGAAGAAGGAGAAGGAAGAAGAGATGAGAAGAAGGAGAAGGATGAGAAGAAGGAGAAGGAGAAGGATGAGAAGAAGGAGAAGGATTGAGAAGAAGGAGAAGGATGAGAAGAAGGATGAGAAGAAGGATGAGAAAGAAGGATGAGAAGAAGGAGAAGGATGAGAAGAAGGACAGTTCTGTGACAGTTTCTGTCTATTTCTGACAGTTCTGGGACATTCACTCCATACAGCTGTTTCAACCGCTGTATGGAGGGAATGTCATGGAACTGTCAGAAATAGACTATTAATGACAGTTTCTGGGACTGTCCTTCCATGCAGCGGTTGAAACATTGTATGTATTTGTTTCCATAAATGGATCCATTTATGGAAACAAATACATACAATGTTTTCAACCGCTGTATGGAAGGACAGTCCCAGAACTGTCATTAATAGTCTATTTCTGACAGTTCTATGACATTCCCTCCATACAGCGGTAGGTTGAAACAGCTGTATGGAAGTGAATGTCCCAGAACTGTCAGAAATAGACTATTTATGACAGTTCTGGGACTGTCCTTCCATAACAGCGGATGTTGAAACATTGTATAGTATTTGTTTTCCATAAATGGATCCATTTATGGAAACAAATACATACAATGTTTCAACCGCTGTATGGAAGGACAGTCCCAGAACTGTCATTAATAGTCTATTTCTGACAGTTCCATGACATTCCCTCCATACAGCGGTTGAAACAGCTGTATGGAGTGATTGTCCCAGAACTGTCAGAAATAGTCTATTTCTGACAGTTCTGGGACATTCACTCCATACAGCTGTTTCAACCGCTGTATGAGGGAATGTCATGGAACTGTCAGAAATAGACTATTAATGACAGTTCTGGGACTGTCCTTCCATACAGCGGTTGAAACATTGTATGTATTTTGTTTCCATAAATGGATCCATTTATGGAAAAAAAATACATACAATGTTTCAACCGCTGTATGGAAGGACAGTCCCAGAACAGTCATTAATAGTCTATTTCTGACAGTTCTATGACATTCCCTCCATACAGCGGTTGAAACAGCTGTATGGAGTGAATGTCCCAGAACTGTCAGAAATAGACTATTTATGACAGTTCTGGGACTGTCCTTCCATACAGCGGTTGAAACATTGTATCTAATTTTTTTCCATAAATGACATTCTGCAAATACACTTAGAGGAGCGCTGCAGATACACTTTTTGCCGGCTTGGAATTAATCTTATTTTCATCCTACTTCTTCTTCATCCTCATCCTCATAAGAAGAAAAAGAAGAAGTAGGATGAAAATAAGAATAATTCCAAGCCGGCAAAAAGTGTATCTGCAGCGCTCCTCTAAGTGTATCTGCAGAATGTCATTTATGGAAAAAAATAGATACAATGTTTCAACCGCTGTATGGAGTGAATGTCCCAGAACTGCCATAAATAGTCTATTTCTGACAGTTCTGGGACATTCACTCCATACAGCTGTTTCAACCGCTGTATGGAGGGAATGTCATGGAACTGTCAGAGTCCCAGAACTGTCATTAATAGTCTATTTCTGACAGTTCCATGACATTCCCTCCATACAGCGGTTGAAACAGCTGTATGGAGTGAATGTCCCAGAACTGTCAGAAATAGACTATTTATGACAGTTCTGGGACATTCACTCCATACAGCGGTTGAAACATTGTATCTATTTTTTCCATAAATGACATTCTGCAGATACACTTAGAGGAGCGCTGCAGATACACTTTTTGCCGGCTTGGAATTATTCTTATTTTCATCCTACTTTCTTCTTTTTCTTCTTATGAGGATGAGGATGAAGAAGAAGAAGTAGGATGAAAATAAGATTAATTCCAAGCCGGCAAAAAGTGTATCTGCAGCGCTCCTCTAAGTGTATTTGCAGAATGTCATTTATGGTCATAGAACTGTCAGAAATAGACTATTAATGACAGTTCTGGGACTGTCCTTCCATACAGCGGTTGAAACATTGTATCTATTTGTTTCCATAAATGGATCCATTTATGGAAACAAATAGATACAATGTTTCAACCGCTGTATGGAAGGACAGTCCCAGAACTGTCATTAATAGTCTATTTCTGACAGTTCTATGACATTCCCTCCATACAGCGGTTGAAACAGCTGTATGGAGTGAATGTCCCAGAACTGTCAGAAATAGACTATTTCTGACAGTTCTGGGACATTCCCTCCATACAGCGGTTTCCGGCAAAAAGTGTATGTGCAGAGTTCCTCTATTCTGCAGATACACTTAGAGTTCCAAGCCGGCAAAAAGTGTATGTGCAGAGCTCCTCTAAGTGCTCCTCTAAGTGTATCTGCAGAATAGAGGAACTCTGCACATACACTTTTTGCCGGCTTGCAATTAATTATTTTCTTATTTTCATCCTTCTTCTTCTTCTTCTTCTTCATCCTCTTCTTCTTCTTCTGAGGATGAGGATAAAGAAGAAGAAGAAGAAGTAGGATGAAAATAAATTATTAATTCCAAACAGGCAAAAAGTGTATGTGCACTTTTTTGCCGGCTTGGAATTATTTCTTATTTTCATCCTACTGCTTCTTCTTCTTCTTCTTCATCCTCATCCTCATCCTCAGAAGAAGAGGATGAGGATGAAGATGAAGAAGAAGAAGAAGAAGAAGTAGGATGAAAAGAAGAATAATTCCAAGCCGGCAAAAAGTGTATGTGCAGAGTTCCTCTATTTCTGACAGTTCTCTCACAGCTTCTTCACATGAACAGTGGTTGAAACATCTGTATCCTAAATGGAAACTAATAGATACAATGTTTCAACCGCTAAACATGTGTTCCTTCTGTCAGAGAACTGTCAGAAATAGCGGAGCTGTAAGAAAAGAAGCTAAAAAAATTATTGAAAGGCTCTAAATTCTTTTTTAAAGTGTTACTAAACCCCAGACCTTCCATTCACTATTTCTGATCTCCAACAGTACATAGAACATGGAAATGCAATTATTTTAGTAAATATAATCTGCTAAATACCTTTTCTCATCGGTAGTTAGAGCAGTCTTGTGATTTCTATCAGTGTCCAGCAGAACACTGAATAAAGCTTGTAGGAGGAGTTTTCATTCTGCTCTAAGAAGATGCAGGACCCCTGACCTCTGTCTGGACAGTGCTGATTGGCCCTGTGCTGATCACATGTACTCTCCCAAGGAAAAAAAAAGCCTCTCTAGCAAAACACACCAAACTGAGCATGTGCAGTGTCTCCAAACAATATGTCTTATAAGGATATAGGAGGTTGACTCTAGAAGAAGGGGAGGATCAGAGAAGACAGGATCAAACAGCCCATTTTTACACAAGGCAAAGGATTTGACCCCTTAGGTTCCACAGTGATATAACAAGCATACTTTACTGCATATACAGACTGATTTTACTGTTGTGTGTTTAGGAACACTTTAAAGTGGTTGTAAAGGATTAAGGTTTTTTACCTTCATGCATGCTTGCTATGGGGGCACCCAAGAGTAAGGAGGAGCCAGGAAACGATGGCAAAGGGAAACCGAGAAGAGGAGGATCCAGGCTTCACTGTGCAAAACCACTGCACAGAGCAGGTAGGTATAAACATGTTTGTTATTTTACAAAAAAAATAACCTTTAGCATCCCTTTAACTTTGCATGTTTTACCTGGCTGTATAAAATCTTGTCATCTACACTCAGCGAACCTAAGCTGGAATGATCTTTCCTATCAGGTGTAAAGTATTCTCAGTGTACAGATATGTCCTGATCGCAATGAATGATCAGCTGTTTTTACTGCCTTCCAAGAAATGACTCAACCTCTGAACAGTAAAGTGCTGATAGAGCAGTATAGATGTCAAGTGTTGACTAAAGCAGCAAATAGGATCGATCTTATGGGTATTAAAAGTGTATGTAAACCCTATCAGTGAACTTCTCTTATTTGTTACCCTTTGGTCTGCTAAACATACCATTGAAAGTGTTTTGTTATATCGGTTTAACCATTTTCCAACTGCTTCACATATGAGTATGGCGGCAAGGAGGCCTCTCTGCACTGGATCATGTATCTGATACATGATCCAGCTCTTCTGGGAAGGGGGAGAGCGTGCAAGCCTGATGCCTCAGCTGTGCTGTGATTAGTCACAGCACAAGTCAATCAGCGGGTCTGGCCAATGATTGACAATGGGGATCAATGAAGAGGAAGAAAGGACAGAGCTTTGTGACTGTAAACAACACAGAACTCTGTCCTGACAGTGGGGGCGTGCGGGTTTTTTCAGCACCAAGCACTGTTAGGCACACAATTCACCCTTTGATTGCCCCTAGATGTTAACCCCTTCCCAGCCAGTGTCATTAGTACAGTGACAGTGTATATTACTAGCACTGATCACTGAATTAGAGTCACTGTTCCCCACAAAGTGTCAAAAGAGTCAGTTAGTGTCAGACTGCCCGCCATACTATCATGGTCCTGCTATAAGTCACCGATCAACGCCATTACTAGTATAAACATAAAAAAAAATTCCAGTATACATACCATAGTGTGCAGATGCTATAACTTTTGTGCAAGCCAATCAATATACACTTATTGGGATTTTTTTTTTACGCTGCTTCTGTCATTTTTTAGCTAGCTGTCAGCTAAGAGTATATGGCTGCTTGCTTCTGGATTTATACCTGCCCCCCCCCCCCCCACGCTGACTCGTGCTGTGATTGTACACAGTGGGGAGTCTGTCAGCAAGGCCAATGATTCATGGCCAGTACTTGCTAAGCAGCTGTGTAAAAATCACAGAACAGAGCTCTGTATTGCCAATCAACACAGGGCTCTGCACAGAGGGGAACAATCTCTCTGTTTCTTATTCCTGCAATGCAGGAATAAGAAACAAAGAGATCTGTTAGTGAAAGCAGAACACATTACACATAATTAGGCCCATATTTTACTCTTTGATTGCCCTAGATGTTAACCCCTTCCCAGTCAGTGTCATTAGTACAGTCACAGTGCATAGTATTATCACTGTATTAGTGTTTCTGGAGATGTGAGTGGCAGTTAGTCAGTTCCCCCAAGGGTCAGTTAGTGTCAGATTGCCCACACAGCACTATTGCAGTCCCATTATAAGCTGCTGATCTTTGCCATTACAAGTTAAAAAAAATAATATATATATATATATATATATATTATATATATATATATATATATACCGTATTTTCCGGCGTATAAGACGACTGGGCGTATAAGACGACCCCCTACTTTTCCTGTTAAAATATAGGGTTTTGAGCTATACTCGCCGTATAAGACTACCCCTCTTCCAACGCACACCAAATAAAAATGAAAAAAACATCAGATTTGATTTCAATATGGTATGGTATTTCAGTATGGTATTCCAATGATGGGGTGCTATTCCTCCCACTGACACCAATGATGAGGCACTACTCCTCCCACTGACACCAATGATGGGGCACTATTTCATCCACTGACACCAATGATGGGGCACTATGCTTCACTGTGCAAAACCACTGCACAGAGCAGGTAGGTATAACATGTTTGTTATTTTACAAAAAAAATAACCTTTAGCATCCCTTTAACTTTGCATGTTTACCTGGCTGTATAAAATCTTGTCATCTACACTCAGCGAACCTAAGCTGGAATGATCTTTCCTATCAGGTGTAAAGTATTCTCAGTGTACAGATATGTCCTGATCGCAATGAATGATCAGCTGTTTTTACTGCCTTCCAAGAAATGACTCAACCTCTGAACAGTAAAGTGCTGATAGAGCAGTATAGATGTCAAGTGTTGACTAAAGCAGCAAATAGGATCGATCTTATGGGTATTAAAAGTGTATGTAAACCCTATCAGTGAACTT